CGGACCGTGCGGAAACCCCGGACCGTGCGCTAACCCGCAACCTTACGGTAGCTGGTGTGCGGGAGGGATTGTTCTAGCTATGCATACTGCAACGTATCTGTGACAAACAAGTATAGAAACGATGCGAGATGTACGAGACGGCAACTTTGTTGGCGCATAAGCACGGGCAAGGAAGGTAAGAGTATCAAGAGTGTTTTGGAAATTCGCAGGAACGCGTCCAACTAAAGCTGCTTGATCCGCACAATCATAACTATTTTTGTTATTAAAGTACGCAGCGTGCGATTCGTTTCCTCGGGAAAACGCGTCTTCCACGCAAGTTTCGTGAGCCTTACAGGGCGACGTATCTGCTACCAGGTACTACAACACTACGGCGTGAATTTGCAGTTTCATTCGACGTTCGTGATTCTCAAAACGCTTAAGAAACATGAAACACAATCACTGAAAGGCTCAGAAAGACTGATGCACCCGATCGAGATTACACCTCCCACCAGTCGAAGGGGATGCCGGGATTGCATTCAATGCTGTTGCAGTGAGTGGCTTTCTTCGCTATGGTTGGATCGGTGCGCCAAACCCAAGGTAACGGGGCATTTTCCTGGGGATAACACAGTTTGTCTGCGGGCGACAAGAGTTACTCTGTGTTCGGTGATCATTCTGCTTCGCATGCAATGCCATGCGCGGTTGACACCTGCGCAGCTCCTCCGCGAGGGGGCCAATGCATGAACAGCGTCCACATAATGTTGGGATGGATGTCAAAATGTCTTCACGAGGGGAAACTTTGGCGCTTAGGCGTGCCGTGAACGGAACGAGACTGGACTACTGTGCGCGCTGTACTGGACACGCCGCCACCAATATCCAGCAGTAGCCTTCTCAGGGTTTTTCATTATTCTAAGCGAGCACGTTGGATGAAAGATAGATTAAATCGGGGAAGTTGGGGGGTTAAGGTTACGGCAGCCTTCGCGAGAAAATTCGCGTATGAGGAAATAGAATAGGGAGGGGGTACGCAGACCCTATGTCCTAACCCTTAACCCAACTTCCCCGATTGCATTTTTTCTCCAACACGTTCATCCTGTTGTGCTTATACGTAGCAAAACCCTAAAACCCTTCACTTAGCGTCGGAGAGCTGTTGTACGCGACAAAAATTTGTTTTGGGTTCGCTGCTGGTTTCCCTTGCGGTATTCGTTGCAGGACCCTCGCACCCTCGGAGCATGAACACACAGCGCGGGTATCTTCATGTATGACGCGCGCTATGCATAACAAGAGATGCACATCTCTTGAAACAGTCGCGAAAACGGCCCAAACGGAACGCGAAGTCACGGCAACGGTGTGCTTACGAACAACTCTGCGATGCACGTCCCGTTCATGTTGTCGTTAGACGGCTTGTTGTGGCAAATGTGCGTACAAGGTGCACACGCAGTTGAAGGCGCAAACCGGCTCTTCTATCTACAGAGCCCAGCAAGAACGGCAATAACGAGGAATAAGACAGAGAAGAAGCCAAGCCTTGGACCACACACACAAGTCAGCAGCACTACCAGCAAACACCCGCTCTCCCTACCGCCGCCGCCGCCGTCTGCCTCGGCTTACCGTAGCCCAGGAGCACCGAGGTCAACGAGGAGCACAAGGCGCACAGGTAGATCAGCGCGGTGGCCGAGATCCTGCCCGGGTCGACGTCCTCCTCCTCCTCCTCCTCCGACATCTCGCTCGCGTATACGCGGCCCACCTGCCCCCAGGCGTTCTCATCGCCGCCTCCAAGGGGTAGGAACTCGTCCGTCACGGGCACGAAGGCTCCGTAGGAGGGCGAAGGGCTGAACCCTTCTTGGTCTTGCGCCGGCTGGAGTAGGGTCGACGTCGGCACCGCGCTGATGGGCGGCAGGAGCGCGTTCTTGCCGTTGGCATCGGTTGGAGCCGGCATGCTGTGCACAGAAGCACACCCTGTCCGCGGTCGAGGGTGGCGTGCACCTACGGCAGCAACGGCTTTTGTAAGTACACCGCTGTAATAGGTGGAGTTTGTCTGAAACTGGAAAGTGAATCTCATCTTGCACCTGCTTGCACATCGCGGGGGCTCCGCCATGTGTACACATGGGTATGAGGCAACGGCGTGAGCGGGCGCTTGGCGGTTAGTCTAAACAAACAAAATAACTCAGTGTTAGGCTAACACAAACTCAAAATAAGCCAAGTCTCCAGCTGGTTTCAATCCACTTACAACTGAAAAGACTTCACCACATCCCTTTCGACTGAGGTTATGTCTTTCTGTGAGGTCATGTTACTTTCTATAAAGGAATTGTATGGAAAAAACATGTCCATGTCCATTTTTTTTTTCCATAGGCTATACCTTGGGTTGGTCTCTTTCACTACCTCACATGCTCATTGGTTGCTCTATCGTTCGATGTGTTGTTACGCCGCTCCCACGGCTGCCTGATGTCTGTCGCGCCCTCCTGGACTCTGTGAGCGCACATCGTTGGAGCAGGAGGCGTCAAATGGTCGGGGGAAAGTGGGTAGCGTTGTGCGTGGTCTGTCGTTCTCTACAGCATTGTCATTCGAGAGTTGCAGCACCGGGCCGTGCAGCAACAACGAAGCAAGCGTTAGCGTTCACGTCGCTGCAATCCCAGCGGGGCCGCCGGATAGGAGGCAAGACACCCAGTACCAAAAACTCGGTGCTGCGGCCGCCAGCAGATGCGAGACAAATGAAAGGAAACCAAAGCGCAGTGTTGGCGACAAGAATAAGAGCTGGACGAGGCACGTTTAGCAGCAGTGCCCTCGAAGGACGAAGGAGAGGAGGAGGAGGAGGAGGAGGAGGAGGGAGGGGTCGCGGCGGAGGGCGACGCTCACCAGACTATGGACCGGCCCGGGCAGGACAGCGGAGGTGATATAGTCAGGACACACCATAACATAGGTAGTTAATAGAGCACGGACTCTTACTTGAACGAAGTGCGGTATTCTTAGAACTGCGAAGCGCTTGTGGTGTGGAAGCATAAATTCAAGGTGGCATAGATTACAGCAGTAGTTCCAAGGTTTTGGAAGTGCTGAACTACAGCACCAAGGGCGCAGGCAGAGCGGGGCAGGGCGTCGATACGTTAGTTTGGCACCCTCGGAGTCATCTAATCGAGTGCATAACAAGCAAGAGCGGCATGATTTAATTCAGCTAATCCGATTTCCGCATCGGGATCGGTGATACTACAGCTGTATCGCACCCTAGCACCGACCCAAACCTCGCTTGGGTACGATATTGTAAGCTTGCGTGCTGCCGGCGGGCAACTCTTTGATCTCTAACGGGTCTCGGTTGGAACTTTCAATGCGGCGAGGGTATCATGGGGGCGCCACTCCTTTGATGCATGCGCTGTGGCGGCCCACTCGTAGGAATGGATCAAGTTGTTTAATCGCACCCGGGTGATCATGTACAGCCCCGTACGAATATGGCCGCTGTTTGTTTATAAATTGCCCTGTTCATGCAGGGCTGCCTCCAACCCGAGGTCCGCTTTCCTTTGAACGTGCGTGCGTGGGTGCGTGGTTGGTTGCGACGAACGAAGTGTTCTCGAAATCAAACTGCACAAGACTTTTTGCGTTGAGCGAACATTCGGCGCGTGGCGCTTTTGCCGAGGTTTTTGCTTGCCGAACGGAATTCGCCGAGACTCTGAAAAGTACGAATGTGGCCGCTGTTTTGTCATTCAAAACCTCTTGTTACACCCCTTGTGGAGGGATCGCGCCACCGCAGTGTTGTAAAAGCTGATTTTTTAGGAAGAGCGAAACGATTAAGCGCACTTACGCACCGGGATCGGGGTCTTCGCACCACCCATACGGGATGATCGCACCAGGGTGCGTAAAAGACCAAAATATTTACAAAGAACGCGCACCTTAGCACCCTGGCCGGCACTTTGGTGGTTTGCGATGCTCCACACGGCGGTGTACTGCTGTAAAAATGACACTCGGCAGGACTCCACACGCCGACTGGCTGGCACTTTGTTCGTTTGCGATACTCCGCACGGCAGTGTACTGTTTAAGAATGGCACTCGACAGGGGTTCCATACGCCGACTCCTCCTCTGCAAATAATTATCGGGCTGGACGGGGTTGACGTCGATCGTCAAAACCTCACAGCACAAGTTTCATTATGCCAAGTTTCATTATGCCTCGCTCGGACGTTGTCATTTTCAACGTGCGGAATCCTGTGGCGTTCAAGCACCAAGCAAGGGGTGAAGAGGAACACACGACACAACGGACCGCGAGTGTGGTGATCGAAGAGCAACACCGCGCCCCTCCCAAAATGCCGACCTGTGGCACCTCCCCAACCACTCACCGCACCTGTGCGTAGAATCGACCCAACTCAGGGCGACCTCGCAACCATAACCATTAGAAGTAAGGAGCAAGGTTACGGTTCGGGTGGCTTCGGTCGGCTAACGAAGGCAACGGCGAGGCGAACGCAGCCACCGCGGATTGTCTTCGTCATTACGCTTGGCTTCTGGGGCCACGTTGAATCATCTTGAGGCTCGTTTCAGCACCGGCATGGAAGAGACACACGCGCCTGTGGCTCTGGGTATCGGCTTTGGCACACAACTCCGCAGCATTTTTTTTTTATCTCGAATATTAGGTTTTGTATGTTCAACTTCCGTCCCACCTCTTTCGGCGAACAACCAATGTGCATGTGTTTCGCGAAACGGGTGATATTTCTGAATCTTCATCACCACCCCCCGGCGTTGTTGTTTTTTTGCCCGTCAGGAGTAACGTTCCCCCGGGAACTCCGGTGGAAGTGGTCCAAAAGCAGCACCAACGCACCGGGAAGCTTACCCCGGGAACTGTCAGCAGGCTCTTGACGAATTCGGGCTTCCACCCCCGTGGAATCAAGGTGACCCGCCTTACGTAGCATGTAGCACAAATACATTGTAGCTGCGAGGCATTGATGGCGGAATTGGGCTTTGAGAGAACTGAGGTGTGCCGGAGAGCGTGCAGGGTATCGCAACGTTGTCCACAGGGCCCATCGAAAGCGCCTCTTCGGCGCCACAGAGGGGGCTCACACGACCGCCCTCGTCACCGACCAAAATTCCCCCGCTCATCTCCGCGTTGACCTACCTGTCCTTTGTGTACGTCTCTGTCGACCCGCACAGGTGATGCTTGCGGGGGGTGTGATCGGCCGCGTGCAGAACGTCCCAGGTGTCGACGAAGCAACACCAACTAGTACGTCGACCGACATGCCCGTAGTTGACAGCGCGCGTGNTGTCCTTTGTGTACGTCTCTGTCGACCCGCACAGGTGATGCTTGCGGGGGGTGTGATCGGCCGCGTGCAGAACGTCCCAGGTGTCGACGAAGCAACACCAACTAGTACGTCGACCGACATGCCCGTAGTTGACAGCGCGCGTGGCTACAGCAGCAGCAGCAGCAGCAGCAGCAGCAGCAGCAGCAGCAGCAGAAGCAACGGCGGCGGCAGTGGCGAAGGTGCTGGTGCCGTCATTGGCCCTCTTGTCGTTGCGTCCACAACAATCGGCACCACCAGCCGGCGGAGGGCATCACCCGTTGAGAGAAAGGGGAACGGTTCCCCGGTCGCCGCCCCGGTCGCAGCTGCCCCGCCCCCACGCCCACGTTCGATCAGGAAATTCCGCGCAGAGAGGGTCCAGGGAAGGTCATGGAGCCTCGAGGGCGGGGAGGTTGTGGCGCGGCGGGGGTTGGACGGCGAGGAGATCACCGGGAAAGCAGCAGGCGGCGCGAGTGATTGGGGTGGCAGGAGAGGGAGAGGAGGAAGAAGAGGGCGCGGAGGCAGACGCTGATATTTGTCGCTTGCACCGTCTTGTTTTAGGTAGCCCCTCTTTCTCCAGTGGTGTTGTGTATTCCTCTTCGCGGAATGGTCTCAAGGATCGTTCGCTAGTTGGTAGGGCGAAGACGGTGGTGCTGCTGGATTCCTCTTATGATATGAATCAAAATGCGCCGTCAGTAGTAGCGGAGATGGATAATAGCATGGTGATTTTGCAAATAGGCGCTTCAAATTTGCCAAAAGTGACGTGTCTCATTGAAAGGAAAGGGTTGGAATATATTTTTCTAGTGGGTGACACGAAAAACTGTCGGCCCTGTGCGAAGGGGGCGACCCTTCTTGGTACATGCTGCTGTCTGGACTCCGGTCACTGACAGCGTTCGGGAAGTGGTGCCCAAAAGTTGGCTAATGCTCTCCTGGATACTGGCATATTTGTCCTCAAGAGACTGGCAGCGTGAGGGATGATGGCATCTGTGGAGGGTTCCACATTCTCCTCCATCTGACCATTCGACCTCCCTCCCCGCGCCAATCCCTGAAGACCTGTCGTGTCGATTCATCGTGTCCTCCCTCTGCAACTAAATTCATGTGCATGATAAACCTCTGTTCCTTTTCTTTTGAGGCAAGTTTCAAAAGCCATGGTCTTCTTCACAGTCCTTGCTCGGGCTCCCTGTCTGCAACAAAGATCAACGGCTTGCGGTGGAGGCGGCAGCGGGGGGATATGATTCTTCTCCTGACACGCGACGTTCATTCGTTGGACAGTGCCGTTTTTTTCACTTGGTGTTCGGCACAAAGCACAAATAACTGTCTGTTGTGTCGGTGTGTCTGGCCTGAATAGTATGACCTATCGAGACGAAGGGTCGGGCGGTATATATGTGTGTCACCATGACCGAGAGCCGCCACACCACTACAATGTCTATGCGATGTGAACAGCAGTGTGCTTGTACTTTTTCTGTGTGCACCAACTGACAAAATGATTTGTATCTACACAGATGCATGAAGAGCCTAAATAGATCAAGAGCTCCAGATAAATAGCAAATAGTTCGGTATGTGACCAATACCTGTGGTTCTACTACTATTCTACGAGCAACGTACAGCAGCAACAATACCTCCCCTGTACAGAGAGGCATTACCTAGAAAATGTGTGATGCACTGTCGAAGCATGTATGCATGCAGTTAGGAAATGCAGCCTCGAAAACTTCAAAATTTAAGAACTTGGCCAAAAGAACACGTGCGCACTTCCGACGTGGTATTAAGAACAAGAACCCGTATTTGTCGTTGACAAAGCGCCTTCGGATAAGAACAGATCCCCCAAAAGTGGCAGCTGCAAGATAAGAACTCATGAAGGTGGTGAGGGGTGACTCACGGGGTGTCCGGTGCCGCCACCTACCGGCAGTTTCAGATCAGCGACGAGGAGGGGGATCTCCGTTTCAAATAATACTGGGGCGGAGGGGGCGGGGGCGGGGCGTGCTCTTTTATGTTTTGCATATCTTAGTGGTTAGACCATTGACCACGCGTCCTCGAGAGCACGGAATATTGTCCCCACAGGCCCAAAGACCGATGGGCGATCGTTCCCTCCTACTTTACCAAAAAAAGGTGTTTCAAAAATGTTTCCCCTAGCCTATCTATCCTATCGAAATCACGTCCCGCCTCTTCAACCTACGTTCTATGCCCCAGTACAGCTCATAGCTGGTATTCTATGCCTCAAACATCTCCCTGTATCCTCCTTACACTTTCCCCAAGGCTCCGTCACGTAAAATCTCCTCTCCTTGTACAATAGAAATTCCATAACTCATGAACCCGGTGGTCACACTCGGAGCCGCGTTCACAATTCACCTTGGTCGGTGCGGAGGGGAGGAGGGGGGGGGGAGGGGGTGTACTCATAGTCGTGCATGCCGTAGTCGTTAGACCATTGACCTCGCATCCCTACAAAGCCAGGACGGAGCACGCCGGGTTCTCGCCGGACCAGGCTCTCATATCACCAAGCGCAAAGGGCCGTGAGGTATTCGGCGAGTCGCATAAATGGTGGGCTGCATCCTGCTAAGGGTGTTCGGCATCTTGTGCTTACATCCTTGCGTACGGATGACAGCTGCGCATTACTTATTATATTTCTGGTGGTTTCACTTCCAGAGACAGTTGTAAGTTGCAAGCACTGTGTAACTGCCCCGAGGATGCTTTACCATTTTAACACAACGTGGTGCGATCATCCCCCTTGCGCGGAGCGAG